GGGGGGGTCCCGGCGAGGATTTTGCTGAGTGGAGGGGCCTTGAAATCTACGAAAAACCAACGCCAGAAGCCTCAGGAGGCTGGCTGTGTCAGGGGGGGTGGGGGGGTCCCGGCGAGGATTTTGTGAGTGGGGGGCCTTGAAATCTACGGAAAACCCATGCTCAGAGGCCTCAGGAAGCTGGCTGTGGCAGGGAGGGTGGGGGGGTCCCGGCGAGGATTTTGCTGAGGGGGGGGCCTTGAAATCTACGGAAAACCCATGCCCAGAGGCCTCAGGAGGCTGGCTGTGTCAGGGGGGGAGGGGGGGGTCCCGGCGAGGATTTTGCTGAGTGGGGGGCCTGTGAACTCTATTACGGAAAAAAAACCAATGCCCAGAAGCCTCAGGAGGCTGGCTGTGGCAGGGGGGGTGGGGGGGGTCCCGGCGAGGATTTTGCTGAGTGGGGGGGGCTTGAAATCTACGAAAAACCCATGCCCAGAGGCCTCAGGAGGCTGGCTGTGTCAGGGGGGGTGGGGGGGTCCCGGCGAGGATTTTGCTGAGTGGGGGGGCCGTGAAATTGACGAAAACCCATGCCCAGAGGCCTCAGGAGGCTGGCTGTGTCAGGGGGCCAAGGGGGGTCCCGGCGAGGATTTTGCTGAGTGGGGGGGCGCAGGAGGCTGGCTGTGTCAGGGGGGGTGGGGGGGTCCCGGCGAGGATTTTGCTGAGTGGGGGGCGTTGAAATCTACGAAAAACCCATGCCCTGAGGCCTCAGGAGGCTGGCTGTGTCAGGGGGGGTGGGAGGGTCCCGGCGAGGATTTGGAAGGGTGAGTGGCCCGTAGAAACTTATGCCCAGAGGCCTCAGTGGGGCTGGCAATGTCAGACGCAGTGGGGGCGCGGTGGGCTGATCCCGGGGAGGATTTTGCAGGGTGGGTGGCTCCTAGAAACCTATGCCCAGAGGCCTCAGGGGGGCTGGGCATGTCAGGCGCGGTGGGGGAGTCCCGGCAAGGATTTTGCAGGGTGGGGGTCGGTTTTGGGCGAGGAATGGTGGTGTTGGGGAGGCCCAAGAACAAGGGAACGGAGGCTCCATGGGGTGGGGAGGCCGGGGCGTGGCGGGGGCATGATGGGGAGCCAGAATTTGTCGTGTGGGCAGGGCGAGGAGAAGAGTATGGATCCATGTTGGGGAATGTTGGGCTAAGGTCCCGGCGAGGATTTTGCAGGGTGGGTGGCTCCTAGAAACCTACGCCCAGAGGCCTCAGGGGGGCTGGGAATGTCAGACGCGGTGGGGGCGCGGTGGGGGGTCCCGGCGAGGATTTTGCAGGGTGGGTGGCTCTTAGAAACCTATGCCCAGAGGTCTCAGGCGGGCTGGGAATGTCAGACGCGGTGGGGGCGCGGTGGGGGGTCCCGGCGAGGATTTTGCAGGGTGGGTGGCTCTTAGAAACCTATGCCCAGAAGCCTCAGGGGGGCTGGGAATGTCAGACGGGAATGTCAGACGCAGTGGGGGGTCCCGGCGAGGATTTTGCAGGGTGGGGATGCTGGAACACGGAGGGAGGTCTTGGCCGATTGTCGGCGGGAACTCGCGGGCTGGGAGGGCTCTGTGGTCGGCGAGAACTCGCGGGCTGGGAGGGCTCTGTGATGTGTAAGAAGACATCGTATCCAGCTCAGAAGGATATCGCACACGCCTCTGGGGTCGGCGGATAAGGTGTGCCGACAATAGCGCGACAGCAACACTGCAAGAGACGGTGCACGGCGGATATCTGTATCGTGCGAAGTGTGCGTGGCCGCCCCGCTGTGGCACCCCATTGTGCTGCCCCCCCAGCAGCCATCAGAAGTGGCGACAGTTTCACACTTCGCAGCCCCCCAGGGGTGGCGAGGTCCCGTTTGGATCTGCGTGGGGCCCCACCGTGCTGGCCCCCCCAGCAGCCCTCAGAAATGGCGACGGTCTCACATCTCGCTGCCCCCCAGGGGTGGCGAGGTCCCGTTTGGATCTGCGTGGGGCCCCACCGTGCTGGCCCCCACAGCAGCCTTCAGAAATGGCGACGGTCTCACATCTCGCTGCCCCCCAAGGGATGGCGAGGTCCCGTTTGGATCTGCGCAGGGCCCCAGCGCCCCCAGCAACCTTCGAGAGTGGCGACAGCTTCGCGCCTCGCGGCCCAAAAGAGGGATGCAAGCAGGCAGGTGCAGGCAGGCGAGAGGGGGACAGAGGGTGGCAGGAGGAGGAGGGGGGAGTTGGCACACCACTGCTTTATTCAAAACTAGAACCCATCCAAGGGAGGTTTGGGGATGACAGAGTGACGGTGCTCACCTTAGCTGCCAGGATACGCCCGGATTGGATACGCAGGACGCGCCGTATTGAAACGTACCGCATTGAAGCGTTACGTTTTGGCTCAATACGTGGGCCGTCTTGGGGTTCCGCATTGAGCTATAGATTGGGATTTTCCCCCTCCTTCTCCCCCTCCTCCTCCCCTTCATTTTCTCTTGAAGCTGCTCTTCTTCATCTTCCTCCTCCTCCTCCTCCTCCTCTTCATCC